TCATAATCAGCAGTAGACCTGAGGTTCCCGCAGCCAGAAATATTTAGCGTGCAGAAGCGGAAGTGTCGCTTCCTGTCCCAGTGGACCACACGCTGCCCACCGCAATGGCTACGATGACCATCTGCTCTTGCATCAAGGCCATTCGCTCGTGTTGTTTTCAACAAGCTCTTATATCTGTTTCCGTTCCAGAAAGTGATCTTACGCGCGACGTGGCGACACATGAGTAAATCCGGTCATAGCAATTGTGGCAGTACAATAATGCGACGACTATTCATACGGAACGATCGCATCAAAAACGTCTTCCATCACAACATCATGATCGGTGGACTACTTAATATGGATTGTCAGCAGTCACACAACGTTCAGGAACACTACACGGACATTGTGCAGTTTCTACAATATGGTGAGTGCAAACTTTTTCTCACCAGTTAAATTAGTCTAGAAAGCATGTACTAAATAACCCAAAGATAATGGCCACGATAATTTGATGTTGATAAAGTATGACAAAAGAGGCCCCAAAAGGTGCGACAGTGAAGAGCAAAAAATGAATAAGCTGTCAAAAAGCAGACTAGACCCCCTCCCCCTCAATTACCGCTTCCTCTGGACGAGTTCACGGCTTGGATTTTGGGTTTGGTATGTATCCGATAGAATATAAAAACGATAAGACAAGAAATACGGCGTTTGATGTAAAACGCACTATCAAAATGAAAATCGAATGGTAATAATCGGGAGATTGCAAGCTTCAGTGACTAAGCTTGTGGGCGGGGCGCTTACGGAGGGCGGGCGGTTTCTGGATTTGTAGCCAAACTGCCTTGTGTTAGCGCATCTTTTGCCAAAAAAACGTCACACTTTGCTTCTTTTGTCGCCGGGCTACCACTTCCACTGGTACGTATACTTCCCTCAAAGAAACCCTCTCTATTCTACTCACTGCCTGCAAGCGAAGTTTGGTCAAGTCAATGTTGAAGATGGATAAAATGAAGTAACTCTTTCTTTTGGCCCTCCCTGTAAGTGTCTCTTGATCCATTAATTTGGGGAAGTCAAGCCAGGAGTGATTAACAGGCATAGTCTATTTTGCTTGACGGACTTGATCTGAAGAAAAAATAGCGTCTTCAGTCATGAAACCCATCGTCTCCGGGAACCGGCAAAACAGATTCTGCGCGCCAACGAGAAAAGCAAGGAAGTGGGGGAAAACAAGTTATTTAAATGAAAGGGAATAGAAATCAGAAAACGAAATACTGACAATGAGAAATTAGAAGGCGATTACTCCATCACAACATCAAAGGTAAATTGAAAAGTGAATGGCGGCCAGCATTTTTCTTCATAAAACCATTCTATTCGAGATACTGAACACTCGAGAACTAGATCCCTCATTCTGCCCTGAATTTGTAAAGGCTTCAATGCTGTTTATGCCCCTTCAGGATATGAGAGGACAACATCAGAGGATACGTCTGTTTGGATTGGGAGTACTCATCGCCTTTCAAGCTCCTTTTTAAGCAATAGCAGCATGAATACTTAAGGCTGAATTCTACTGTACAGGGAATCGATAAAAATGCTTAATTTGCGCGCACGCTCACAGACGTGCTAGACAATTTGAATATTCACATCCTCAATCCATACTTCATTTTTCGATTCTTAGTGAATTCGAGATCCTATTTCAGAGAATGCTGTTTCTTAGCTGGAAATGAAAAGAAAGTAAGGATAATAAAATTAGGAAAGATTTTCCAAAGGTCCAGCAGAAGCAAATACAGCTGTCATTTACCTCTTCCTTTTGAGCAAGCAAGCAAAAAAAAACCTGTTAATCAAAAACATCGTGCTTCATCGCAGCGATGACATTCTGGAAACCGACAAAAATTATTGGGCACTTTTGCATATTACAACCCAGTTGGGCACAGGGGCGGATAGGCCGATCAAAAAATAATTATTTCGACCTGAAAACTTTTCTATGGGGTGGATCGATGGGGTCCTTTGATCACGAATATGAACATCACCGTTTTTTTTTGGCGCTGACGCAGAAATTGGCAGCGCCATATGTTGCGCCAGCTGGCCGCCACTAAGGACTTTATTACTAAAAAATTACCGCATGTAAACTACTGAATAAGGGGATTATTTAGGGGCCAACTGATCACGAATGTGACACCTCTCGCTTTTCAATATTCGTGCTGTTTAAAGGCAAATAAGTGTTTGAAATCTATTCTAGGACATTCTCAATCCATGGCGCCTAGGAACAACTAAGCTTAGGGAGGGGAGTGAAACTCGGAGTGGGTGAACCACGCACCGTGTGGCAAAAGTTGGAGTGTGTTAGACCACAGGGGAGTGCCCTACTCACTTTGGAGCCCTCCACTATTCAAAGGCTTAGTCCTGATTGCGATCTAATTAGTGCGAGGGCGCAGACGAGCAGGAAATAGGCGCCGAATAGCGCTAACAACAAAAACGAATGTCATATTCGTAATCAGGACCCCAAATAACCCCTATACAGAAGTTTACAGCGAATTTAGTGGGAATCAGTCGTCGTGGCGCCACCTGGCGCCAAATGGCGCGCAAATTTGGCGCCAGCGCCAAAAATGAATATCATATTCGTGATCAGGGCCCTCGATAACCCCCATAGCCGAAGTTTCAGCGAAAATTATTTTTTGACCCATCTCACCCCTACTGGGGTTGTAATAGTGCAATAGTGCCAAAATTTGCAACATTCGCTGAGTGTCAATACCGAAGAGACGGTTTCTCATAATTTAAGATTTCACCAGCAGTTATGCTGGAGAGGAACGGTCGGGAGTGTTGGAAACTGTTTCTAATACTCCTTTCTTGATCTCGAAAAATTAATGGTTATCAATGGATATCACCCTTCAAGATATCAAATGAATCAGCATTTTGAAAAAAAACAACAACAAATCCTTCTATAGCATTTATCAACCAGTAATGAGATATACACGATGAGTGATACACTGAAGACGAATAACGGAGATCTTAATGGTTACTTTTCAGTTATCTCGCATCTAGACTATCCATCAAAAATTACAGAAAAATGTCACGAAATCGGTGTAAAACACCGAAAGTACAAAGCAATGGGAATGAAGGTGAGTTTCATGCTGTTACGCCACATGGTATAACTGCAGATGTAGATATGAGTTTTGATACTTACAGACAGAACACTGGGATTTATTAGGAGAGGCCATAACCGAAACGATACGCGAATATCAAGGCTGGAAGAGACATCGCGAAAGCCTTCGCGCGGCCAATATTCTCGTCTCTTTTCTAGTGGATAGAATAAGAAACGGTAAGTAAATACATATTTTATGGGCAGTCAAACAGTCTTGTCTGTGAATAATTTCGCTTTTCTCTCCGCAAAGAACAAGGGAACGAGGTGATTGCAGTCGGACAAAAAATCCAACAACAAGATTTTCTTGCGAAAGAGCAACAAAACAAAAGCAAGACTGCTTTCGCATTTCCAGAGAACAATTTTTGAAAGTTTTTTTTAGAGCAAAACCAAGTGTGCCAGTAGAACATCATCAGAGACATTGGAGGTTTATATAATAGCAAATAAATACTTATAGGCATAGGGAAGAAGATAGATAGTTCGAAGAGATAGTTCAGAAAAACGACTTTTATGCATTACACTAAAGAGAAATTAAAAAGGGCGAGTAAAAACCGAAAAATTCTTATAAAAACAAGAAACGAGTGAAGACTTTACAGGATTTTTACAACGAGACGTTGACGAGACTACTCCCATTGGCACTCCGCCACCGAGACGAGTGATGGCGTCAGATCGTGGACGTAGTCGTAGTCTGCAAGATGCAGATAATGGAAAAATGCATCGAAACTGGACAGACTCTTGTCCCTCCATCAGCGATGTTGCTTCCACTCATTTAACAGTGCGACGAGTGAGTATGCTCACGCAGAAACGGAGCGTACCCGCAATGTCGACATCAAGAAACGCTCCACAAGAACTGCAGGTTAGTACTAGAACAAAACGTTACCCAATAGTAAGAAACGCAGTGCATAATAAGTATGAGCGAATTTAAAGGCACAACCCAGGATTAGGCCGGTGCATTGAAGCCTTGGCACGAGAAAGGTACAGGGGTCGGCAAGCATACGCGTTGTACCTATCTCGCAGCAATTTTATGCCAGGCAAAGGCGTTAATTTGCACATGAGATTTCACCAAGCACCAGGGTCTCACACAAATTGACACATGCCAAATCCGCTCTCGCTCGTTTCATAGCTCCCTCATCATCAATTCATTTCCCTCGTGAAAGTATTTTTAATTGCTTTCTGTTTCTTAGATCCTCCACTGCCTGGAAAGATGCGACCACTACTTTTAGAAGTTTGGTCCATTTAGCACATCTACTTTCATTTTCGATAGAGATAACAACACTAGGCATCATCCCGCTGCGTAATCAAGTCAAGTCGATTGTCTACAAAAAAGTACGGCAATAAGAAGTGATTTTAAGCATTATGGCCACAAGCCATATGAAACAGTACTGGAGAAAATTATTAAGTTATTAAGAAAAAAAGGTGAAAGCATTGATTAGCCTACTATGAGGAGAAAAGATAGACGTCAATAGTTAATAGGAGTAAAAATATGTATATATACCATCAAAGGAAGTAAGCCGGGCCACCACGGCCATTTAATAAGAGATTTATACCACTAGGTCTTCTCCTCCGAACACTTTTCTCGAATCTACCTTTTTAATTTAATGGAGGATTCTCTAAAGAGAGCTGTCAAGCAAAAGCGTAAGGCGCAACGGTAATGGTTGGACTCCAGCCAAAAGTCTTAGGATCGATCCCTTTTTGTGTTTACCGTCTCGCTTTTTTTTAAACACAGTTAAAATAGTTTCTAAACCAATTTAACCGCATTTTAAAGAAAAGTAAAACAGCAAGCACGGTGAGGAATCGATTCTACGACTCTTGAATGTGTCCCGACCACTACTCCCTTCAGAAAATAGTTTAGCTGATTGAATGCAATTTCAGCTAAGCGTTTCCAACAGATCTCAAAGTGAAGATCTCTTATTGAATGGGTTCAAGTTTGAACACTGCGCAAAACTAACGTCAAAGTCATGAATTGAAATAGGAAAGGGTAATAGAATAGAGACGGTAATTACAGGGAACTTCAACTACTTATCAGAGCTGCACACTTTATTTAGATGCAGTTCCGACGTCGACGCCTACCAGAGACTCCGCTGTTTGACGGAGAGGGCATAGGTACTGAAAGAAGTGCTGCTACAGAAAGGCGCCGTCAATATCGTCACTCGTTTACAAACTCTTTCGAGTTGGGCCATCTCAACAAACGCTAGATGACTTAGAAATTATGCTCTCTAATAAACTTTCTATTCATCAGTCGCAGATAAGCCGTCGTATTCGGTGATAAAAAGAAGAATTCTCAAAATCTCAAAATAAAAGATTATCGAATCTTCGGAAATGCCATTGAGATAGGATAGGGAACGAAACAGTTGGATCCGAACAGAGACGTGAAACGCTTAGGGCTTACGAATGGCCAAAATAGCACAACACAAAAGACCATAAGCAACTGTTAAGCTTTCTTAACGCTAGACTGTACGAGAAAAAAAGCTTTCCATCCAACTAATATAAAAACCGAGCTGACCTGCTTGGGTTGGACTCAGAAATCATCTCCTGACGCCTCTTCGGTACGACTGCGCTTAATCTTGTCGAAGAATGAGTTGACGTGCTCAGCAGTAATAACACAGACGCCTTCCTCTTGTTTTTCACGCATGAAGTTCTGCAGGTTCCGCTTAAGAGCGTTGATTCCTGGAAAGTCATTATGTGGAGCTCTTCATACCAAGTGGGACGCACAGGTGTTTTCTGGTTTCTACGCTAAAATGTACACGAATATGGAAAAACGTACTACCTTGT